CCCCAGCGCCGGACCGACCGGCGGCGACGGATTGGCTTTACCTGCAGGAATTTGCAGCTTGATAAAGCCGATGATTTTCTTTGCCATTTGAAACCTCGGATGAACGCATCGCGTTCGGTGAGTAATAGCGCGCTTTCCAGCGGACCGTACCAGCGCTCCTCAACAGCCAACGAAGCGAGCTGTCAGCGCTTTGCCGTGCAACGCGTTGCCGCGTCGCGCGTAAAATCGAAATCAGACCTTCTCGACCTGACCGAACTCCAATTCGACCGGCGTCGCGCGGCCAAAAATCGTCACCGACACACGCACACGCGACTTTTCGTAATTGACTTCCTCGACACTGCCATTGAAATCCGTGAACGGCCCTTCCTTGACGCGAACCAGCTCGCCCACTTCGAACAATGTTTTCGGCCGCGGCTTTTCGACGCCCTCTTGCATTTGCGACATGATCTTGTCGACTTCACGCTGAGAGATCGGGCTCGGGCGATTCCGGGCACCACCAACGAACCCGGTGACCTTGGCGGTATTTTTTACCAAGTGCCACGTTTCGTCGGTCATTTCCATTTCGACCAGCACGTAGCCCGGGAAAAACCGGCGCTCAGTGACCGACTTGTGGCCGCCTTTGATCTCGACGACCTCTTCGGTCGGAACAAGAATCTGGCCAAATTTGTCCTGCATGTCGGCACGGTCGATGCGCTCCTGAAGCGCACGTTGCACGCTCTTCTCCATGCCGGAGTAGGCGTGCACAACATACCAACGCTTTCCGCCCGATGACGCTGCGCTATCGCTCATATCATTTCCAACCTAGAATTAGCGAGAAGATGATCCATTCGATGGTCTTGTCGCTAACCCAAAGATAGACCGCCATCACGAGCACGAAACCGAATACGACCAACGTTGTCTGGCCAGCCTCTTTGCGGGTTGGCCACACGACCTTGCGCACCTCGCGGTACGAATCTTTTGCGAATGCAATAAACCCCTTGCCTGGCGCCGATGCGAGCGCCGCTGCCACGCCGACAGCGATGCCGACTACCAGCGCCGCGCCACGCAAATACCACGCGTGCGTTCCCAGCAGATAGAACCCGGCGATCCCGGCGATCACGAGCAATACACTCAGCGCAAGCAGCAGCTTGTCACTCGCGGTATTCACAGTTTCGACGGATGGATTCGCCATAACACCCTAAACGAACGCGCCGCATAAGCGGCGCTGTATTGGCAGGGGCAGAGGGAATCGAACCCCCAACCTTCGGTTTTGGAGACCGACGCTCTGCCAGTTGAGCTATACCCCTAAACCCTTTCGAAGCGACAACTTGCCGCCCCTATCCTGATCACCAGGTAACTGGCTTACGCTGTGATCTTAGCGACGACACCGGCACCGACTGTACGACCGCCTTCGCGGATCGCAAAACGTAGGCCTTCTTCCATTGCGATCGGCGCAATCAGCTTGACCGAGATCGACACGTTGT